TCTGTGACTGTGACTCTCTATATTGGTTGGTTGAAACAAAATCCCGGTCTGCACTTTTACTCTCCGGCTCTCTGGACCTGAAATACTCAACTCTGATTATATGTTCGCATTCTGTTGTGTGGGCACTGGGATAGGGTCATACCCAAGGGTTTAAACAAGGGTTTAAAATGGTTGCAAACACAGAGACCACCGACCCACAACTTGAGCTAAAATGTCTTTCTCTTGGTCGAGGTCTGCTCAAGACTCAGTACTTGGGGAATGGACTGACGGGGAGTAAATAGACCTTCCTCTGGTGGGGATGACCATCACCTGATTGACTGACAAATTCATTTAACTAATTGATGATCTTATTGATTTTCAACATAAGAGATAGGGAGCGAGGAAGAGACGCTTCTGTCTTTTTGAATGTTCCAGGATGGACTGATCAGGTAAGTGATGTTTCAGCCTAGTGTTCTGGTTCAGAAGGAGATGCCTTATTTGGGCCTTTGATGTCATGTAATGTCACAATGGTAGGACACAAAAGAAACTCTAGGTGTATGGGGGTATGTGTCTAGGTGTTTGTTTTGGGGGGGGGGCTTGGCCCATGTCCCCTGTAGACCTGTTACCTTTTGCAAGTTGTGGAAAACAAAAAAAGGGCAGAATTATTTATTTAATTATTTAGAGGTCACACCTATGTCATTTACGGCTGCCCGCCCGCGGATGGCAGCCGATGGAGAGGGTCGTGAAAGGGGCTGGAGGGGGGAGCGGATGAGACCGTATCGAGCCCCTGAGGTCCCCTTTTTGGCAGGACCGATCGCTAATGCACCCCTCTCAATAGACGGTGTGGAGTTGGGGGGGTTTGCACCCATGGACACAAAGGGCTGGGGGGGGCAAACACTTTCGCTGCAGTAACCCAGTAAAGAAGCTTCATTTTACAGATTTCCTGGCCTCCTTTTGCTGGTTTTAACAAGCAACAATGCCTTCAATAGCAGTCTGAGTGCTGGTTGTTCTCCAAGGCTGTCCCCGTGCCCACCCCTCTTATCATTTAATTCCATACCAAATCTATTTAAGGTGCTTTTTTGTTGAGGGTGGGGGGTAATTATTTTTCAAAAACTCTCGGCTGTAATAATCACTGGGACAGTTTCGGCTGCCGAAATGTCACTTTGTGCCGAGTTCACGCCAAGCGGAAGCCCATCGCCTCATTTCCACAGAACGGCGGTTCTATTAGCAAGGAAAAAAGCGTATGTAAAAAGATACTTCACTCTCAAAACGATTTAAATAACACGCTACTCTGCACAACTCCTATTAACCTTCAGATCAAGCCCATTTCTGATAAATATCATTGTCAAGGACTGCTTTCCGCCGAGATTCAAATCCGAATGGGTATCTATGGGCTAATGAATTCGGGATCCACACATCGAATGTTCATCTGCAGATGACGAGCATCTTATTCCATCTCATACAACATCTGCTCTTTCTACAGCCCTATTCATTATCTACACCCCTGTTTAGATTATGCAACCAGTCTTGGCTAAGTGGTGTCAACGAATCACAAGAGCACTGTGATGCCGTTAGACTGCTTCTTCGGTGTTTGATGCTTGTTTGTTCAATCATGTTGTTACGAGCCTGTTTCAGTGAACATTCTGGGAGGCTGTGCGAGATTGCCTTCAGGTTTCTGCCTATAATGGTGGATGTGATGGAGAATAACCAGAATGACAGGCCAAGGTGGGTGTTCGTTTCAGCCTCTTCCTGGCCCTCCCACGTTCAGCCAAACACCATCTACAGGCCTTGTTTGCCCACGGATTCCCCTCACGTTGACTCACCACTCTAGGTCTTCGCTCTGGTACCTGGCGTGTGGAAACGGTACATCTCAGCTTCTCCTTAGGGGGCCTGATTATCCTAGGGAGTCATATGCTACGTGCAGAATAGCAAAGCTTCAAGAGCCCTGTGTAGGCGGGACTATCGCACACCGTCAATCACCCCGTGAGCCAATGGGAATCAGAGCCTAGGTTAATAAGCCCCTAAAGCCTGGATGGGTCTGTCTCTGTCTACTTTTTTATGTTCTTGAGGCAAAGTGACCAGCAATTCCTGGAGAATGACAACCCAAAGCTGTTCAAGAGCCCTATTGAAATCGTTCATGGTACATCTATGAGACATGTTGTTGTTTGTATATAACTATATATAGTTAAGGAACAACCGTTGACTTCTCGTTAGACCGATCCAGTTAGACTGCTTGTCTCATATCCTTTGTATGTTTATATGACCCACATTTTCTAAATATTATTACTGATAACATCTGCAGTTGTTCATGTACTGCCATTCCCCATACATTAGAAAAAGCACATTGCCACACATGGCTGGATATTGTGGGACAAAAAAATCAACATTTATTCAATGACCGGGCTCAATGTTAAGTCGATCTCTATTTCGAACAGTAACCTGTGTCAGCGATTTTCTCTTCTAAGTCACACAGGCATCAGAGCTCTTCACAGATGCCTGATGCACTTAAAGTTGTTTATTTTTCAAGTGGTTTTTGGCCAGAAATGAAGACCTGCAGATTAAAGCGTAGATGTAGGTGCATGTGACACACTAAGAGGACCGGCACGTTGACACGTGGCGACAAAGAGCGCCGATGACCTCTGAGCGTAAGGAAATAAAAGGGAAACATATCCGAAACGAAAGCAGAAGCTTTTGGTGCCTGTCTGTCCTGGGAGTCGGGTGCTGACTCCGGGACACCTGTTGGATGCTTTGCCTGCCTTTGTCCCCATCGGTCATGGTTACATCGACACCCGGCTGTGACATCTGCCCAAGGGTCCCCTCACCATTGTGCGTCTCTGAGTGACAGAGTGACCAGTGGCTTGCCGGCCGCTTGGAGTGACCCGGGATGTCACATATGGCACAGTCCCCGGTCTGTCCCCTCCACACTAGACTCAATCGTCGATCAAGGGGGTCACTTCCACCCCCCAACACCCAGAAAGGTCATGGCCCTGGCCTTACCACTCCAGGGAGGAGCACTGAAAGACTTCGGAAAGGTCAGGGTCAGTCACCTGGAGTTGGAGTCTGGTTAAGGCACGACCCTGTACTGTGGAGACTCGGGGGGTGGATACTACAGATAGGGGTGGGGGTCTTTCATTCCACCACCCATTACCCCCCCCCAACCCCAGCAGGGATTTTCTCAATATCACCCCGCAGAAAGTGCCAGTATCTGTTCTTATTTACCTACGAACCACAATCACAGTAGCATAAATGGGTGGGTTTTATGCGCGATTATACTTCAACGGTTCATTATAATCCTACTCGTTACACCAAGTGCTGAGAGAGCCAAGCTCTCCTGTCATTTTACCGTGTTATTCCAGATGGGGATACGATTACTATGCCAGGAAAAAAAAAAAGGATGGACAAAACGGCACCAGAATCATGGAGGGGTGGGGTGGGGGGGCTTTTATACACATCGCCAGTGGGGTTGCATTGTGCGTCCGATCACGAAGAATAGGAATGCGAAGCCTCGGTGCCGTCGAACGACCTAATTCGAGTGTTATGACGATGAGTTAGTTAGGCAATTTACATTACAAATACAAAAGAAGCAGTGATTGTAGCTGGCTAATTAAAACCAGGGACTGTTTAATGCGAGTACTTAAGTCTCTCGACAAAAAAATGGGACTCGTATGGCGCGCTACAAAAAAGACGCTTTCTTTGTCCCGGTCTTTGGGAAAAGGCCCGGATGCACTTTCCCGGGTTATGAACAACGCAGCGCCGACTGAATGGCGTTTTTTAGCTCGCCGGACCCGCTAATGGCTTGTTAATCACGGTGGACTTTGAAGCAAAACAATAAGAGGCCTCCCATACAGACAACAAATAGGCCGTATTATTCTCTTTGTAATTTTGACATTTGCAGAGAGTAGCGGGGGATTGGAGAAGTATTTTTATAAATGCCACGACCTGACCACGCTTGTTTTGCCCCTTGGATGAAGATTTATTTTTCCCCATTCGCGTTCATCTCGACTACGGCTTGAAGAGGCCGTAATGGCCCAGTCGAGATTGAGCGGTCTTCACTCGGTAGTCAAGGAGAAGATAATGACGCTGCAAAATTGGTCCTCGGTTACGCAAGGCCTGAATCCGATGGACGTCAGCTTGCTGACACCCACGGTCACTTCCCTGGAAATCAGACCACGACAAGATAGAATCCAGGTGAGTAGGATTTTGGTCGGGCTATCAGGTCAAAAAAGACACCGTTCCTCTGTGAAAACGTTTTGTGGCACGAGGTTTGTAGAGGAACAAGATCATACAAACCCATCGCCTCAACACATTACACGTGAGTGTATTTGGCTCCTGTTTACCTAGAGACAATGCTTCTACTCAGGTGAGGAGACTCACCTCAGCTCCACATCCTGTCTCCCCCCCCCCCCCGTGACAGAAACCCCATTGATCAGCCATCCAGCAAGACCTGCTGAATCCAGCAGGGATCTAGTTACCTTGTTACCTTGTCACAATTTATCCATCTCAACCCCCGCAAGATTTTTTTGCTCAGGGGTTCCTCTTACCTGTTGTTGACCCCCATCTCCTTCCCAACCCTCCAATATGATGTTAGACACTGTGAACCCCCCCCCACCTAACATGCTTCTCACACACATGGTTTCAAAAGCTGAAGACTTTTTCTGACGGGGTGGTGTAGAGTCTCTAGTTTTCAGGACTTTTGCAAATGGGGGGGGGGGGCATGCTTTAAAAGCTGAAAAACATCCTTGCCTTTTTTCCCGGTGGTGGTAAGTGACTCAAAATTGAGTCTGAGGTTTAGAGGCAGAACCTGAGCACAGTTCATGTGTGTTACTCCAAATCACCTTCCAAGAATTTCACGCCAGCAATCAAACAGCTGCAAACCTCACAGACCGAACAGCGGCACGGAAGAAAAACCGTCCGGTGTGCGAATCGGATTGATTTAGGATCATCGGAAAAGTTGTAGGTCCCAGAATTCCGTGCTCCGTCGCACTTCTGCTCTCAGAATTCGTGCACCATAACAAAAGCTGTCAAGATGTCTTCTCCCAGCTGTCACCCTTCAAGTTTATTGGAACACCATTGAGTACAGTCATGCCAGCAACACAATGCAGCACGTGGCTGGTTCAAGCTCAAATTAACAGTGTGAATAAAGTGAACAAGGCTTGAGGTCAGGACAGAGTGATGGCCCGTCCTGGGCAGGCAGAAAAAAACACACACAAAACTGAAAATCCAACACAGAAACACTATCTGTAGCATTTACACCAGTGCTAGGAGTCCCTGAACTGTCACAATTATGTTTTTCTATTCTATTTTTTCAAAACATTACCATTTACCCAAAACATAACCATTATGGCCAGAACGAAAATAGCCCTGCAGGAAAAACTTAGAGCACCCCTAGAATACACCCAATACATCAAATTTCTGTCTGGATTCTGCCCTAATTGTTTGTCGTTAGCTGTTCATCGCCACGGTGTCTCTAATGGTAGCAAGCTGTCCCAACTCAAGTTTCCACCAGTCGTGGTTGTGTGGCGACAAAGATTCCGATTCTGATTTTGAAGTCAACGTCTGACTTCCATCATGAGTCAGCAATGGTTTAACAATCCAGGTAGGACAACTGTAAGTCCCTACTGACAGGCAAAATGATGTCTGGCTTTTCGTTTCCATGACGAGTCACTGGCTATTGGCGGCGAACGTCCGAATAAAGAAAGAGGGCGCGAAGCGACAGGACGCCCCCCCGGAGGTTTCGGTCACCCCGGGGGCCGGCACTGTTTTCATTAAGGGGTCTTCTGAGAGCCCCTGGAATGGAACCACTAATATAGACATCAGACCCATATTTCGGAGGCAGATTTGTAAACAGACATTCATACAAAAGAGCTTGAGCACAATATAATTCGGTTTCAGGTAGACGGGCCGCTCTCTCCGAGGAGATCGGATCGGGGTATTAAAAAAAGGGCCTTTTTTCTCCCTCCCCAAGATAGCTGAAGGCACTGATGTTCCGATGGGAATAACTTCATTTGAGACCATGTTAGCCCCTGTAAATGGAGTCCGTGAGCAGCTAATGCAGTCCTCTGAGTGGCCATTGTGCAGGGGCCGGCAGAAAATGTGGCCGCAGAAGCCGTAAAGCGCCACGTCTCCACCAGTGAGCCCGTACACACGCAGCCGCACACAAGCGCGCACACACACACACACACACACACACACACTTTTAAATAAGTCAGAGCTTCCCAGTAAAACAGCTGCATGCTGGCCTGTGAACGATAAGGCCCCACACAAAGGACAGTGACATCCTAGTGACAAGGGCCACACTGGACGTGGTGATAATACACACCCAAACAAACGAACTAATGAATAAACGAAGGAACGAACAAACGAACAAACAAAAAATGTGTACCTCCCTGTCAAAGAGTAAACCAGTAAAATAAATCATATTATTTATACAGGGAAAACCTGAATTTGCACAGTAATGGGATAAGGATTAAGTGACCAATCACTGAGAACATGTGCACATTTTTAACCTTAATAAAGGAGCCCTCATAAAAGGCCATATGGTCATCAGTGTGATTTTGGGAGACGTTCCTCATCAATATAGCAAGACCGCCAGTAAAACCACTCAATACATACTATCACTGTCTCATGTCTTAGTACGTCACATGTATTTCTGTTATATTGATTTATTTTCACTATGATGAAATGTAATTTCATGTCAGTGTATGACCACTGCATCACATAGAGAGACGACAATGAAGATACCTGGACTTTGATGGCACTTTGGACAAAGACAGTAAATAAATACGTGTAAATGCATGCACTGGTACAGGCTTAGGCGCCTGGGTAAACATGGTCTTATAAGCTTTGGCTACGGTTGTGTGTAAAAGGCACCCAATGAACTGCAAGCAGCTCAGTGCCAAACTGGTTAGGGAAGGACTTTGTGTGACTGACACGTGTTTCTGAATGGGGCGGGGGTGGGGGGGAATGGGACGGGGCGTAGCTCAGACACTGAGGGAGATGCTGTGGATCTGGTCGACGGGGATGTGGGCGTCCGCTTCCTGGCCTTCGATGCGGAACACCACCTGGGAGCCCTGGGGGATGCTGGCGGTGCTAATCGTGTGCCTGATGAGCCTGCCCCGCCCCCCGCGCTGGTACATCCTCACCGCCACCTGCGCCAGGAAGAGAACCCAGGGTCACATGACCGGTCACATGACCGCTTGACTGCGTTTTAGTGGGAGAGGTAGTATAAGCAGCTACAGAGACTGAGCAGTATACTACCGTATATACTAGTATGTAGCACTATGTCGTATAGCAGGGGTCTCCAACTCCGGTCCTGGAGAGCTACTATCCAGTCGGTTTTCTATCCTACCTGGCTTCTGATGAGCCACACCTGTTCTCAGGTAAATACCAGAGCCAGGTGTGGCTCATCCAAAGGCAAGTAGGGTAGAAAACTTACTGGATAGTAGCTCTCCAGGACCGGAGTTGGAGACCCCTGTCGTATAGTATAGTATAGTATAGTATAGTATAGTATAGTATAGTATAGCACTGTTTCTCACCCCACTTCTCATGGACCCCCAGACAGTTTGATTCAGGTGTGCTGGGAAGGAGTAAAAATCTGGACTGTTTGGAGGTCCCCAAGGACAGGGTTGAGAAACCCTGTAGTGTAATATAGTATAGTATAGTATAGCATAGCATAGTATAGCGAGTAGTATAGCACTGGACAGTGAATTACAATGTTATACTGCTGAATGTACAATATTGTATTTGCTTCTAATTATATTCATGTATCACTTCCCCTCTAAATAGAAAATCATGGACAGTGTTTCATTTTAATCAATGAATCATTCAATACAAATATGCAGTTTGGCTAACAGATGGATAAATGGCTACTTATTTCTTTAGTAAGCTTGTCTTCTTCGGAGTGACCCGCTTCTAACACCAGATACTTTCGCTGATGCAGTTCAGGTTCAGCTTCTTAGATTATGGGCACGACAGCACCACTGACTCCAAACCTCATTCAGTTCCAGACAGATTTCCTCCACCAAGCTTTCCTGTTAATCTCAAACACGCTCCCTCAAGATGTACACAGTGCTGTAAATTAATGTGTGTAGGAGAGTATGATTGGCGGATGAATTTCCACGATCGGACACAGCTTCCCGTTATAAGACGACATCAGAGCGCTCAGACGTAACAGAATGTATCAGAAATGCCCCCCCCGCTGCCACCCCCCACAGCGGATCCCATATGCCCCTCCCTTGTAACCTTGCCATATTGCTACTGATGTATCGCCTACGAGATCATGATTTTCTTTTTTGTTCTCTGGCTAACAGGCCTGCACAGTGTCCCTGTCCTCCTTCTTCTGGAGCGTAGGTGACGGTGAACCTCTGTCAGTGGATCCGCAAAGGTCAGCGGGGTCACGACACTGAATGAGACCCCCCCGACCTCGGTCTAGACCTCGGTGGAAACCCATGGCCTTAACCTTTACCCCCTGGGAGTGCAAGCTGTTGTGTCCGCCCTGACCCATCGTGTTGGGGTTCTGCTGGGGCTCTGACCCTTGCTGGCCTACAACGGCACTAGCAATGTTATGGGGCGTGGGGGGGCACGTGTCTCCGGCCAATCAAACGGGCTTCTCAGCGGGCATTTATTCAGACTGAAAAAAACCTTTAGAGAAATACTAAATATACCAAATGTGATTGCTAACATCACTGGTGAGCTCATCTCAAAAACAACAAAAATTGGACTGAAAGAATTTTGAAAACTTGCTCATTCGTGATAGCTAATACTGATAGCGCCAGCATTCTTGAAAAAAATAAAGGCAAATATGTTGGTTCCGTGCAGAACGCATCACATTTTCAAGATCTGCCTCAAATATAAATAGCTCAATCCAACATTACGACTGGATCTACGTTGACACCGGTTTATCCGGAAGATGGCATAATTTCAGAGTGCAACCCAAATAATTACCATGGTGCTAATAACGAGGGACTCTGAAACTGCTTTGTGTCTCGTTGCTCCAAACACAAGGAGCAATTTTACAAACCAATAATGCATCATGCCGTCATTTAAAGGGCCAGTCTCATCCAAATAAACAACACCAAGCATCCTTCAGAACCACCAGAACTAAACGGGAGGCCTTATTTGGCCCGTCTTGTTCATTTAGATATTTAATAACTCAGAACTGGAGGAATGTTATGCAGCGCCAACTCAAATGAATGTTAGGACCATACACCCCCCCATGTACACGATTACAAATCCCGTTCGATTGCAATCATCACCGTGGCGACAATCCCGCCGCTCTCAGCTCCCCCCCACCCCGTCTGTTAAACTCGCAGGACGGGGGATAAACAAGGTCTGCCGGGACTGTGGCTAGAATCGCAATTTCAGCCCCCACTTTCAGCTCCCATTTTTTTAAATCTCACACCTGCAACCGGTCTCCCCAGTGCCATCACAGTTACCAGCCTTTCACAGTACACTTATCTGCCCCCCCCCATGCATCCCTACCAGGGTATTTGCCTGAACAATAGGTTCGTTAATGAGATTTGGACGCTGCGGTAATTGGACGCATCCATTTCAAAAGGGCTATTTTACGGCATGCCTTATTTTGCAACACTGGTGGTGGTGGTGGTGAAGGCTGGGGGGGGGATTAAAGTATATCACGGGGGCTTTTTATGGTTCTATTTTCTTCATTTTAGAAGAGGTCAGTTTTTTGAATTACTTGCTCTGTTCTTTCATCTCCGGCACTCGATGGATCGCCGGGGCCTTTTAGTTAATAGTGGCCACAGGCAGCAGTGAGAATCCACGGCCCGGTCCATTGTGCGGGTCATTGTGGGGACCCAGGAGGCCCTTATTACCTAACAAAACATCAAAAGGCAGATAAGCGAGAGAGGTGAGGAAAACTACTCTGCCTCCCCGTAATTGCACATGATCAGTTTAATAAGGAAGGGGTGGAGAGGCACAGGGGTAGCAGCACGGGAGGGACCACGTATAGGGGGGGGGGGGGTTCTTGTGTCAGCTCCCGGGCGTCAAGACTGCAGACCTTACCACCAGCGAGGCGTATGGCGCTTCTGTCGGCTTTGAGTTATCGCTTGCTCCGCAGGGGGTCGTGATTGGACGGTGTGCTGCCTTGGCGAGGGCGCTGCCTCAAACTCCTGCGTCCACTGGCTTGTGTCCGACCTTGCTGACACGGCCGGTGGTTTTCCTGGCCATTCTGCTGTCTCGTGAACCGGTGACTCTGATGGCAATTTGCCCATTGTGTGTCTGTGTTCCTTCTGAAGGCCCGTCGTCCAATCCCTAAACTTTCCGGAACAGGCTCCCGGTCAGTGACAGCCTAACTGGGTCGGTGGCTATTGACAAGCACCGATAGATGGAAGGATCGATTTACAAGAAACCAGCCATTTCCAAAAAATTATCAAAAACCACTAGGCAACAAAGTACAAAAACAGAGGAGACAGGATTTGAACACACAAGTGACAGATTGATAAGTAGCCACATGCTCAGCTTATTGAGCCATGCAGCCATATGGGGAGCAGGAGAAACACATTAAAAACTTTGACAACAGAGCGGACAGGATGGCCAGCGACACCTGCTGGCCAAACGGGGAGAAGACACGAAAGACTGGGACAAACAGGTGCTGACCCTGACATTTTTCCTTAAACTGGACTAGTTTGAGGCTTCAGCCACGAAGCTTGTGGTGAGGGAATGTGATCTGCTTCAGCTGCATTGCCCATCGGTGGGTGGGTGCGACGCGCCGGACCCAGCAGTGCCCTGCACGTGACGTACTGGCGTAAAATTCCCCGGAAGGCACTATAAGAGCCGGTCTACGTGGGACCATTATTGATGAACACCTTGAGAAAACAGGCACTGCAGTCTGGACCTAACCCTACATAAATACACCCTACATAAATCACACGCCAATCCGGACTATTAAATCAAAGGCCTCGGGGGCCAAATCCCCCCCCCCCTATAGGTTCAGAGAAGGAAAAAGCTAGCTCTTCACATAGGAGAGTGAGGTTGTGGCCACAGGGGGTGCTGTCATCGCTAAATAAATTGAATTCCGAGACGTAAATTCCAGAAGATCCTGTGTTTTTTTTACATAGATTTTCAGCTTTGTGCCTTTTCACAGAAAGGGAGGCTCTAAAAAGCAGCCACCGATGCTGTCGGTGACACCAGGCTGAGAGACAAAGACACCCTGATCTTAAAAGACCGTCTCGAAACTGTAAGACAGTGCAACGTCCTCCTGACAAAAATCAGACACCAATGTGGGAAAATGCAGTGGGACTTTGTGTGACACATCTGGAATTTCAGTGGGATGCCACAAGTCCTTCAGAAAGCGTCACTAAATCAGGTGACACATTCTGACATAATTTCAACCTACAGCTGACAGTTGACACAATCTCCTTCCCCCTTTTCTCTTTCTACCTTCAGTGAATCTCTTCCACTTGCGAATGCTGAATGTCAATCTGTGTCCGGTGACGTTATTTCCTGTTATCTATTTTATTTATTGTTTTTTTTTTTTTTTTTTTAATGTCACCTGCTATACTTATGAATTTGCATCGATTGTGTTGTTTATTATTTATTTATTTATTACCCCAGTAATAACTTTACTTTATACACACGTCTTTGAAACTATAGAACTGTTTGTTTATGTGGTAATGCTCATACATCTGGCAATACCAAACTTGCTTCTAGATTTTGGTCAGCTCATCACCAAATTTAAATATCCATTCATCCATTTTCTGTACCTGCTTCTCGTATGCGGGGTCGCAGGGGGGGTCCGGAGCCTAACCAAGAAGCTACAGGCACAAGGCAGGGAGCCACCCAGGACGGGGTACCGACCCATCGCAGGGCACAAGGCAGGGAGCCACCCAGGACGGGGTACCGACCCATCGCAGGGCACAAGGCAGGGAGCCACCCAGGANACGGGGTACCGACCCATCGCAGGGCACAAGGCAGGGAGCCACCCAGGACGGGGTACCGACCCATCGCAGGGCACAAGGCAGGGAGCCACCCAGGATGGGGTACCGACCCATCGCAGGGCACAACGCAGGGAGCCACCCAGGATGGGGTACCGACCCATCGCAGGGCACACTCACACACCATTCACGCACATGGACAATCTGGTAACTCCGATTCACTTCAGCATGTTTTTGGACTGATGGGGGGAGATTGG